GATCAACCATCGTGCGTGCACAAGATCAACTGTCGTGCATGTAGGATCAACTACCATGCATGCATAGGCCGTGAGTGTAAAGATCAACCGCCATGCATGCACTGGATCAGCCGTCGTGCATGCATAGGATCAGCCGTCGTGAGTGTAAGGATCAGCCACGTGTGTGCGAAGGATCAACCGCCGTGACTGTAAGGATCAACCATCATGCGTGCATAGGATCATCTGCAGTAAGTGTTCCGTCGTGAGTGAATGCCTGAAGAGGGATTTCTAATGAGGGCCTTGTGGCCCATGTTAGCCACTTGTAAGCCACATGGACACCACCTGCACGGCACTTGGGTGCCAAGTGGCACCTGCTTATCTTTGTGGTGACACATGTCTTTTGCATGCTTCCACCTCTTCCTTTTTATGATTATAAAACCCCTCTTCGCACCTTCCACAAGCTTTGGCTCTCTCTCTCACACCCACTCACGCCCACCCCTTAGCCTTAAAAACTTGAAGACACAAACCATCCTTGGAGCTTGGCCTTTGGGGTGCATTGGGAATCCTTGTAGTACTGTAAGTGGATTCAAGATCAATGTTTCATGCTTTGTTTTCATTCATGTTCAATTTAATTGTTAAAGTATGAATTTGAGTAGAAATATAAATGCACTTGGGGAACCATGCTTCTAAAATTTGGTTATTCATGCACTCTATTTTCCAGAATTATGACTCTCCATTGGGCAATTGTTTGAGCATTGAGAGTACCTCTGTTAACCATGAAATTTTGAGGGGAAGTATCCCTTTAAGTATAATTTCAAAGGGAAAAGACCCCACATCAATATCTCTTTTGATTGGAAAGTTATGAGACTTTTGCTAGAACATGCCAAATCTGTGACATGAAATTCTAGAAACTTTAAATGTTTTTGTAATGAGCTATTCGCTGACCAAATCATATCCAAATGAGTTCAAACAACTTTTGAATGAAATATGAATGAGTCTACTTCAAAATTATTTTGGAACTAACCTAAATTCTCTATGGGTTGGAAATTATGCCTTTTTTTCTATAAAGATGTCATTGTTATGAATGCAGGAAATTTTCAGAACTGTTACATGTTTTTGTATTGAACTGTTAATTGAACTAATTATGTGCAAATAAGTCCAAACCACTTTTGAATGAAATATGAGTGAGTCTAATTCAAAAATTATTTTGGAATCATGCCGAAATTCTCTGTGGGTTTGAAATTATGCCCATTTTTCTATGAAGATGTCACTGTTATGAATGCAGGAAATTTCCAACACTTTTATATGTTGTTGTATTGAAATGTTTATTAACTAAATTATATCCAAATGAGTCCAAACCACTTTTGAATGAACAATGAATGAGTCTAATTCAAAAATTATTTTGGAACCACTCCAAAATCTCCTATGGATTGGAAGTTATGCAAAATTTTCTAAGAGACTATCATGTTATAATTTTTGTTCTACTATGAAATATTAAATGTGCATGGTTGTATTAGACATGCTTATGAAATAGTGAATGTTTATGAGATATCGAATGTAATAAACATGCTTATGAAATAGTGAATGTTAATGAGATATCGAATGTGCATCGATATGCTTATGAAATAGTGAATGTTTATGAAATATCGAATGTGCATAGACATGTTTATGGAATAGTGAGTGTGCATGATAGTAATAAAACATGCCACAGATATGATGTGATAAGTGCTATGTGATATGACCTGTGTAGTCAGCCATGTGATAAGTGTTATGTGATAAGACTCCAGTGGTCAGAGATTGTGCCAGCAGTTGAGATATTTCCCTAATTCCCTATGATATGAGGAAAACTAACCCTAACAGTGAATGGGATGAGGCGCATTCCCTCTATTGGCAACCTCACTAAAGTGGATTCGCCATGCCCCGAAGGTGCATGCTTCATTATGAAACCAATGGCATGTTCTCTCCATGTCTCGAAAGCTTCATATATTCCCTAGATGATGATGATGTGACCTCGTTGTCTTATGAGAGTTTCAGATTCTCATTCGATAATGAGGATATCCATGCCTTGAAAAATAAAGTGGGCCAAAGGGGAAGCCCAATAACCAACATCAATAATGTTACGTTGGCGACAGCAGTCGATCCCCTGATCAAAAATTCTATTGGACAAGAAGCATATGGTGAGCAAACTCTGTTGGAGTGTATCACCCCAAATGAAGAAGAAGCTTTCAAGAAAATCAGCCCCAAAGCCTCCATTATTTGTTCGCTCTCCTTCAAGGTAAGAAGAACCTCCAAGCTTGGCCGTCGTTAATTCCATTGTGATCAATAAAATGCCAAAATCCTATGGAGACGAGATTGGGCAGTTTAAGGTCATATTAAAGCAATTTTAAGTCAAAATAATATCAAAACATGAAATGATGAAAACTATGCGCCAAAAGGTGCTGGTGTCTCATAAGGTTGAGCAAAATTTTTCAAAAAAAAACGAAAAAGAAAAGACGACTACAGTGAGAACCTGCAAGGGTGCTATGGGCAAAAGTGTCAAAATAAATGGAGTTCAGTGAAAACCCTTAGGGGCACTCATTCTCAATTGATGGACATAGTGTGCACGACAAAAGCATACATGAGAAAAATATGTCAAAAAGAAAAAAAAAAAAAAAAACGGTCATAGTGAAAATCCACAAGGGCACTACGGGCAAAACTGTCAAATAAAAAAAGCGTGTTGGGCCACTCACTCTCAAATGATGGACATGTTGATCCTATCCTATAGGTCATTATAATCTTACGTCCTTGTATAATGACGTTAAACTGTGCGACATACAGTCCATTTGCATGATGATAAACTGCTCACCATTCCTTAATATACACATGGGGTTACCGCATGATACCTTGCCACGTATAGCTCGTATGTTAAAGAGCACCATCACTCCAAACTCAACACTACAAGGTACTCTTCCAAATTGAGGCGTGTCACAGTTCCGACTGTGTGACTTCAAGGCATGCAATCGCCTCTCCATAAAGCCATATCCCAAATTGAGGCGCACCACAGTTTCGACTGTGTGACTTCAAAGCATGCAATTAGCTCTCCATTGACTTTTCTGATAACCACGGGTCTGCTCAGAAGTCCACAACCGACCATCACCAATAACCTATCTTACATTATTATTCAAATGAGATAACCCGAGCCAAATACCCTTCCAAGCATAAGGTGAGTATCTTTTGTATTTAGTCTCCCTTAAGGAAGAATTCATGAAGTAAAATATGCTTAAAAAATTGAGCAAATAAAGATATATGATCTATCAATATTCTCCATGCCAATTTCATCATCCCTGCAATATTGAAATCGACTATATCACGCATCCTTAGACCCTCTTCGGCTTGAGGTAGACAGATTGTGTTCGATTTAACTAGATGAATCCCCTTCTTTCCAACCATACCTGTCAAAGGAAGTTTCTTTGCAACTGTTCAATCATATTACAGATTCTTTGCCTCCATATTCTCTTTTTATGGTCCAATAGCTGTTGTAGTTTTTCAGTACACTCCTTTTCGAAAACTTAAAGTTTGAGATAGCTTCTCACGATAAAAGTTTTGAGGTAGTTTCTCTCAAACAAATTTCAGGTACTTTCTCTCTCTGAAATATGATATCGTTTCTCTATCTAAAATTTTAAGGTACTTTCTCTATCTAAAATTTAAAATTTGAGATAGTTTATTTTGAAAAATTTTGCAACAGTTTCTCTCTCTAAGGAATTTTATGTACTTTTCTCACTCTAAAATTTGATATAGTTACTCTTTCTAAAGCTTAAATTTTGAGATAGTTCATCTCTTTAAAATTTTCAGGTAGTTTTTCTCTCTAAAATTTTAATATACTTTCTCTTTCTAAAACTTAAAATTTGAGATAGTTTCTCTATCACAAAATTTTGAAATAGCTTCTCTCTACAATTTTAAGATACTTTTTCCCTCTAAAACTTAAAATTTAATATAGTTTCCCTATGTAAATATACTCAAGTAATTTTTCTATTTAAAATTTGATATAATTTCTATATCTAAAATTTTACTATACTCTCTCTAAAAAACTAAAAATTTGAGATAGTTTATCTATCTAAAAGTTTTGAGATATTTCTCTTTAAAAACTTTTAATTAGTTCCTCTCTCTAAAATTTAATGTAGTTCTCCTCTATCTAAAATTGAACATAGCTTCTCTCTCTAAAAAGTTTCATGTATTCTCTCTTTCTAAAAATTTCATGTACTTTCTCTTTTTAAAATTTTATATAGTTTCCTATCTAAAATTCTAATATGTTTTCTCTCTAAAATTTGATATAATTTTCTCTTTTAAATTTTAATATGTTTTCCCTCTCTAAAATTTGATACAGTTTGCCTTTCTAATATTTTATATGTTTTAATGCTTCAACGGTAGATGGCAAAGGGTGATAAGTGCCGCTAAGGTTTCGTTTTTATTTACAAAATAACGGTCCTCAATTGCTAGGGTTGGAGAAGCCTACAAACCTCAAAACATTTATTCAATCTAACTTACCGCATGGCAATAACGGCCCCATAAAAAAGGGGTTGTCTTAATTAAATGTTGATTCCACTTATTTTGGTGGAATTGAAATTGCCAAAATTTAGACTTAAAATGAGCATTCAGGATTCCCACAAAAATCCCAATTCCATCAAAATTGTCAATTCTAAGTGAACCAAACACGTGTCAATTCTAAGTGAACCAAACACCAAACACGAATCCCCTAGGAAAAGTGACTCTTAAAAATATGAATCCAAAGAACCAAATGGACCCTAAGAGAAAAGAGTGAGGTCCTACTTAATCTGATCTAAACAAATGATTCCCTATCAGGATTGCGGAATTAACAATGGCATTTATTGCTGGGAGAAGAAAAACTATATTAAGTTGAAACGGTCTCATTTAAATAACGCTTGTGCATCGGTGCTATTAAAGATGTTTATCACAATTGGCAATACACTCACTTACAAAACGGGCAGATGCACTTAGAGATCATTTGAATACTTGAAAATATATTGTCAAATAAATACATTACTGGCATAATACATTACTACAAATAGTTATTATTTGGGTAGCATCTAAATACAACTTAAAAAAATACATTGCTATTGTTTGGCTATGTCAACCACTCCATAATTAATAGAGCTGCAAAAATTATGAGATCAAAAAAGAAGATGATGCTCTACTAGGACGATTTTCCCAAAAAAATCCAAAAATGGTGATGAGTTATCAAAAAACCCAAAAATGATGAAGACTTCTACTGGTGTTGGAGCATTGCTTATAGTGATAGATATATTCCTCTCTTTGTGCAAGGGAAGAGTTATCTCCTACATATTTCATGTTTTAATTTTATAGAAGGCCATTACAGTCTTCTTTCGGAACATCCCAGTTTGAGTACATATGAAATTGTGAGAGAGGCTGTTGAAATGTAATCAATCATATGACCATCGTCCTGTTGGACTGTGTAAAACAAAGAGGTATGTTAGGGGAAGGAATGGCGGGAAGAAAAAATAATGTTATGGATTAATAAAGCCATGTATAACAAAGATACCAAAGGTAAACAGGTGGGAAAAAGAAGAATCAAAGCCTACTACTGGGAGGTGAGGAACGCTCTTGTCATCCTACTCCGAACGAAATAAGCCAGAAACTGTTCTAAAAAAAACCCAAAAATCATGATGATTCTCTGTTAGGCTTATCTTCCAAGAAAAAAGAAGAGAGAAAGGGGGTGAGCAGAAGCTCATGCGAACCATTAGTTAACGCTAAAGAAGAGAGAGAAGGCTTTAGAGAGAGAGGAGTTAGGGCTTACCAGAAAAGAACGATAGTGATGAAACTCTGCTAGGTTTTGAGACGAGCTTGAGAGAGAAGTGGATGTGAAAAGTAGAGAGGGAGAACGGTTTTTATTAGAGTGGAGAAAGGCTATAAAGAGAGAGAGGAGTTAGGCTTACCAGGGAAGAGAGATGATGATAATGCTCTGCTACGTTTTGAGTCGAGCTTGAGAGACAGAAGTGGACGAGTGAGAGAGGGAGAATGGCGGGAGACGTGTATTTAGGTTACCCGTAAAAATTACTAACTCAAATGGGTTAAACTGTTACATATTTATCATTTCCAAGGTGAAGTGCATTTAGAGGTTATCAGCACCGTCAATTCATCGTTGGAAGGCCACCAGTGATTCGCGAGGTGTGAATTCTGTCGCAGTGTGCCCAGCCCCTGTTAAATAGTCACAGCATGACTTACTTCTGAATGTACAATAACAAACAAAACATTTATCGAAACTTTGATGGAAGAAAACATTGGCATTTAGATGGATCTCTCATACCTTGAATGTAGCAAAATGCAGGTTGTGCTCATATTGAACTGTGTATCTGCAATTCAAAAAACATTGATTACCCCCTTTGCTTCTAGTTATGCACACTATCCATCAATGTTTCAAGGAAATAGACTAAAACACACCCTTAAGCTAATTTTTGTATCATTAGCTCACAAGCCAAAAGGTAGATCTATTTGGCAATGAATTATGTCAATGTTCCATGGTCAACCTGATAAAAAAGCTCCCAGAAAAAAGAGGGAAAAAAGAAAATGTGTTCTTTTAGGAAAGAGAAAATGCAGTAAATACTGTCCATCCATTTCAGGAAAGACAAAATACAATTAGATGGAGACCTTAATCGATTTTTGTGACCGTAATTTTGTAGATTTTCTTGTAATCACCAGATGAACAATTTGACAATTAATAAGACTTGATTTAAGTTCATGAAGGCGTAGATCTAGAATGAATAACAATCAAAGTAAAGCGGACCTTCAAATAGTATCGAGAAATGTAGTTTCAATACTGGAAATCTTTGTGATAGCCTTAAAATATAGATTCATCTCTAATTATACAATTTCAAGCTTAAAGAATAGAAAAAGTTCATATAAGGATGCAACTTTATAATGTAGAATTACGGATGCACCTCAAAAATCCATCGGAAAAGGTAGTTTTAATGTTGAAAAAACCTTTGATTGATCATCTTGACATCCAGATGTATGACCATGAAAAATAAAAAGATTTCAAGTATCAGAATTAGTGCATTTTACAACATATTATCTACACCGTCCATTTTTAAGATTTTCATATGTTTATAAATCTACTTGATTTTGACCATTTTTTAAATTTAAAATTTTATAATTAGATATAAAAATAGCTTTTGAGATAATCCTAAGAACATTTTACATCAAAAGTATATGCCATGATAAAATTTGAAGGTGCACCTTACCTCTACTTTCAAAACTTGAAAATTGAAGATCCCAAAATGCATTACAAGATGCACTATTTTAAAAACTTGAAATGTATATTTTTCTCATGTCAATGCATCTTGATGCCAAGATAATCAATTTGAAAATATTTGGGCACCAAAACAACCTCTTCTAGTGAAATTCTTGAGTCGCGCTCTAATTTGATTGTTTAGAGCCTCGGCTCTATATAAAACTTTTCCATATATAAAAGAGGAAGTTGTAAGTTGCTTCTATCTTTAACCAATATTATGGACGATAAAAAGTTCAAAAATGATAGTGGGTTTCAAAAACTAAAAACTATGTCGTTTGTAAAATATGAGCATAAGTATGCCTATTTAACATGGTACCTTTGTTTAAAAAAAATAAATTAAAAAAAAAAAACATACCCTGCTATCTAGGGTCCTACGAACCATGGTCGCCAGCTCTCCAACTCTGTATAATTCAACCTTCTTATCCATTCCAAGATTCCAATATATGGAGCAGTCATGTCATGGTCCCCACTAGAACAACAAATGTGAAATGGTTTTTTATTACAATTCCAATCAAGTATTTCCACAACAAAAAGAAAAGGAGATAACATGAAAGTTAATGTGCTTTTGCTGAAGGGTGTAGGACACGAATGAATTAGAGCACCTTTTGAAAGCATAAATTTAGTTTAAGAGCAGTGATTTCATGCAAGAGTTGTGTCATAGTATAATGCAACCACACATCTAGAAAATCATGTTTTTGGCATTTGTAAGACTCCAAATTTTACACACACATTCTCTTCATCCTCATGATCAATCTTATGGGGAAAAAAATTCAATTTGCACCCTAGATATGGTAAAAATTAGTACCCTCCAACAATGAATCTCGACCATCCATTGGGTGAATTTCAAGATCTAGGCTTTGACAAATTCAAAATCACTTTTTTCATTTTTAGCATTGTTAATCTAATGATGATAACACTATATAAAAATTTTAGGAATAAAAAACTCCTTTTGAGGCCTATATCTAACCTTCTTACTAAAATGGACGGCTTATATTAATTAGGTTATAAGAACACTTTTTAGGGCATTTTTTTCAAAATTTTCTTTTTTGTGATTATTCTTTAGAATGAAAAGAATAGACATCTAAAAAATTGTGTCAAACAAATATCTCTAAGATGGTTTTTTAATGTGATTGCATTATCTTATGATACAACCGTTGTATGAAATCATTACTCTTCGCTTAGAGCAAATATGCATTTAGGGAGATCTAAAGATTAAAACGATGATCACTTCAAGACTTGTCATCCTTATCTTTATGTGTTTGTTGTAGCTTACACATTTGGGCTTCAAGTCATGGTTGTACTGAAGAATTAATGATGAATTTTATTTCCTAAGTGTGTCAGGTTTATGTTACTCCATTTTGAGTCCTAGAAACCCAAGAGTAGTGAACATTTCAATCTTCCCCGAAAATCAACCTTTTAGAACGATGTGTACTTGAAATATTAGAAAGTTGAGAGTCATTATAGTTTTATTAAGTTGTTTCTTTGCCTGTTTCACAAGTTAATCTCCTCACTTTGTTTATACATTTTTTGTGGTAGTCTAGTTCATCTAAGATTACAAAAGAACTATTTACGTATCACAAAAGAAGCTACACGATTAGGGAATTTAGAAATTGAAGATAGCTTGGGTTTTGCGCTGTAAGAAAGAAATATGGATCAAACCTCAACGAATACCTTAGTAATGGCTTATTCAATTAAGTTTATTAGTCCTTAGGCCTTTATGTAGAAATATTGATTCTACAACTCATGCCTAGGTACCGGAGAGTCTCAAGCAATGCGATCCATACGTCGGCTTTCTACATTATTACAACTGCCATCCATCTAACCAAACCCCATATCATTTAGATTGTAGTTTAAACACTAATTTGCAAATTCAACCACACATAATACTCTTATCTAGGTAGATGTGGAAAAATCTGGCAATGTCAACCTTAATATAAACCCTTCAACTTAAACCCTAAACTTTACCTTAACTTCTCTAAATCTTGTCCTCAGAGACCTAGCCTAGGTCTAATACCTTTATGCCTCTTATTATCCACTTCTATTCATTATAGAGGATCTTCATAAATCCACTGCCTAGTATCCTAAATCTTAACCAAATTAGAACTTCAAAACTTTTTTCTGAGTTGTCTTAACATGTTGCACCCATGTAAAAGCCAAACCCTATTAGTCATTCTGTACTCTTGCTACATAGTAAGTTGTTTGTTGAAACTTACCTTGAATTCAACCATGTCAACAGAATGAGCCATGCACTAGGGCACTCACTTCTTGCAAAACCAAATTGATGAGTGTTTATTGTAACTAATGGATTGAAAGAATACCATGTAAGAAATTCTTGAGGTATTGGTCAAAAGAAGAATTCATACATGTAGTTTGACTAAATAGCGATGGGAACAGAGGAAAGCAACAACAATGAAGATAAGGAGCACTCCAATAATTCATCTTTTATGGAAGGTAATATTTCAAGACGGATACCACTAACATTCATAAGGTGGCAAATAAAAAGGTTTGTAAAGGATGACTAAAGCCTCAGAGCACAAAACCATTTGTCATGCTCATGAGTATCTGTTAAAAATCCATTTATTACCATAGTTTTTTAAAGTAGGAGTTTGAATTGCTAGTTATTAATTTAGCAAGTGATCTCATTTATTAACGACGTAGTTGACACTAAATTTGTAGTAGAAGCAATTTCCAAGATCATGAAAATAAGTAAAACTTTACCCAATAAAGAAGTTGAGGATGTAATTTCCTTAGTGAAGAAAACCTTAAATCACAAGATGAGGATAATACAATAGAAAATTTAAGTAAATTCGATATTATTGCTTCAACTCCTTTATCAAAATAGTAGATCCTTTCTCGAGACATTTTCAAAATAGTAGGCATATTTTTAAATGAGGTACTCTGTAAAGTGGCAAGTGCAACAAAGAATAGCACTTGAGGAGAACTGCTTCATGCCAGGAGCCATTCAAGATTATTCCAAAATTCATAAACAGAAAATTCAAGAGTGATGTAAATCACTTTTTGTAAACATAAGTTTCGCTTGAAAGTATGTTCAATTGATACAAAACTTTATATATCTTGTGTAATTCACATGTTTAAAGCTTCAATTCCGCATATTCATGTTGAAAGCCTTTTGGAAACATCATTGACAAATTTTATTTTCGAGTGCAAGAAACCACATATCAAGGAACTTAAAATTTCAGGAAGTTGATTCTTTCTTTGATTGACCAGTTAATCTAGTTTCTAATGTTTGTGTAGGAGTTAAGAAAGGTTCTTTTCATGTTTTCTAAGAGTCTACTTCCTTAAACTATAAAGTAATTAATTTCCAATGTTTGTGTAGGAGTTAAGAAAGGTTCTTTTCATGTTTTGTAAGAGTCTACTTCCTTAAACTATAAAGTAATTGATTACCTAATTTTGAAGAATCTGGAATATTAAGAAGTATAAGAAAGTAGAGATATCGTAAGTTCAAATCTAAGTTTAAAAATTAGCATGATCAAACAATTTGAGTAATAAAATTTACTTTTACAATTGTGATGGGAACAAGAAATTTCTCAACTGTTTTTGCAAAAGTAGTGATTGTACAACTTTTGCCTCATATAAGAGAAGGTCCTCCAAAGATTAGGGCCCCTCTTCATCTTTTGATGGGAGATTCCCCAAAGTTGTAACATGTGCATTGGAGGTTCTCCCTTCGCCTGTAATCTTGAGCCCCCTTTCGTTCCCCTCTTGTGATGCACATTCCAATATATGATGTTCCAAGACCAAGTTCGTTTTCAACTCAAGCCATAGCATATATCTTACTTTAATCCATCTGAACATTTACTTTACCTCATTCTAACCCTTTCTACACATCCAACCTCTATAGCCTTTAAGCTTAAGATTAAACCATATATTTATCCTAATTAAATCATGGAACCTATTCCACCATTCTCTTATTTTGGTGGACCAGCTAAAATCTTGCATTTTCAACCTCCGTTAAATTTTTAACTCCAACCTTAAAAATTTAACTTAACCTTATCAAAACCTTCCCCATAGACTTGGCCTAAATTTCATGTTGAAAAGGCCTGAGATAAAGTAGATTGGGATGTTTTACAAGAAATTAGGTGGCTTAGGGGGTCTAGAGAAAAATGAAGGAGCTGGATTAGAGGTTGTGTTGTGAGTAATCATTTTTTGTGCTCATCAATGGTAGTCCCGAAGATTTTTTTAGAGCTACAACGAGATCTTGTGTGCCCCTTTTTTATTTGCGTTAGTAGGGGAAGCTATGAGTCCTATGTTAAGGAAGGTAGAAGAAGATGGTCATTACATATGTTAAAGTTTCAACTAGTGTTCCAAGCATTTCTTACCTTCAATATGCCGATGCTACATAGGATTTTTTATGGTGCAGACTCATAGCAAATTTTGAGAAAACTAATCTGGTTGGCATTGCTTTTGAAGCGTTTGGTAGCCTAGCTACTCTTTTTGGCTATAAAACGGAACAATTTCCCATAAATTACTTTGGTTTTCTTATGTGCATGCCTAATGGAGTGGTCCACTAGTTGAGGAGGCTAATGAAAGCATTTCTTTAGGGTAGTAGCCAAAATAACAGAAGTGAGATGGAAGAAGGTTTATACTCCTTAAGGATGGGGGTTTGGGAATTGGGAAATTAAAAGTTATGAATAAACATATATTTACTAAGTGATGGTGAGGAGTACTCTAGAAGAAGATCATTTATGGAGACAGATACTGGTGGCTAAGTATGGCTTGGATAGTATTCATGGTTGGTTGGGATGGTAAGAAGTGGTAGGGCATGTTCATCTATATGAAAAGGAATTCTTCATTATAAGCCCATTTTAGAGCGGAATGTGAGGTTTTCCATTGGAAATAGAGAAATTTTTTTATTTTGGCATCATACATGGCGAGGTAGAATACTTCCGTGAATTTTACCTTGCCATCGGAATGTGTGGTTCCAACTTTTTATAGTTGCAAGTGCCCTGGATTCTGAAATCTTTGTGGTTTCAAGTTTTATACTTCTCTGAGAAGTTGAATGCCTCCTTACACATGTTTACCATTAGTTAAATGGGGAGGCAGATGATCTTGCTAAGCAAGGTACACATCTAAAATAGTGGTCAGGTGGTTCGTGAATTACCATGAGTTTATAATTTCATATTTTGTTTGGTGTAATTTGCTGCTTGTTGATAAAATTAAAAAACATTTTTCAAAGACAATAATGGGGAGGGGGACTTAAAGAAAAGATAAGGTGGGCCTCCAAAGGATAAACAATGGTTAAATTTCAATGCCTTGGAAGATACAAATTGTTGAACAACAACCATTTATCACCTTTTGCTTTGGAACCCCTCCCATCAACCATTTAGGCAAACACTTCCTAGTATGGCTCTAACTGATCATTTACTAAAAGAACACAAATGATATATGTAAAATTAAATGAAAAAATAGGCAGACAAATGAATAACCTGTAAATAAAGGCTCGGTAACCTCTCAATGTGAGATTTAAGTGATGCTGGATCAAGCTTATCTTTTCTTATCGATATTTCAGCTCATCGGTGCACCTTTTCCACCTTCCAGCTACTTCTACCTGTCAACACCATCCAAAGTTGTTAAGTGAGCCAGAGAAACATCTTGTAAATACTTTTATGGGAATCTATGCTATGAGGCTTTTTACTGTTTGCACAAGGTGTCGTCATCTTTTCTAGCCCTTAGCCGTATAATTCAAAAGTTTGACACAAGTTACGAAGCTCAAATGAATGTGAAACGTTGAGTCCTACCACTGGCATAACATCAGCCATTGAATTTAAATTTAACAATTAATTGTGACACACATCATCGAAACAAAAACAAAATTCATAGTATATATTTTATCATAAAAAACTATGGAAAAAATTTATGTGAGCCAGCAGATGCAAGAGCCCACTGACCCACAAACGTCAATCTTTAAGAAGGACATTGCGTAAAGTCTGAATAAAAAATCCATCCCTAAAAATTTGAATAAAAAAATCCATCGTTAAGATGGATTTTAGAGAAGGGATGCATGCGTACATATGAATCGGCTTACTCATAGAACCATCAAAAAAAATATTCTCAAAATTATTCGAACTTAAATGAAATAGTGGATAGGAAAATCTAGTCCCATACAAATTGACATGACATATCTTGAGAAGACAATCAATAATCATTAAGATTTGTTTTTCAGGAATGATTCACCAAAAACAATTGAACAAGGCATGTTAAAAGTCATCCAATCAATTAATTTTTAATGTCTAGTCCATTTGTCATGGATACCATGATATGGAGCATAAAGTTTAAAAAAAAATATTACCAAATAATTTGTTTTTCATCTTTCTTCTTCGTAATGTGGTGGTACGAATCGACCTTGAGATGTAGTTTTAGCATTGTTAATACAAATACTAACCATTAAGCCCAAAATTTTTAATCCAAAAGTCCATGGAAAAAAATAATAAAGTTGAGTTCCTTTAATATTGAATGTTGGTTTTAATAGTCCCTCTTGGATGATTTTGGCATAGAGAAATCCTCAAACTTTCTAGGAATATAGTTGACATAAGTAGTTCTACAAAGCTAAAAATATAAATAAAGAGTCAACTTTATCGTATACAAAGCAAAAAGTTTCAGGCCAGATTTAGAGTTTCACCTTGCTTTGATCGTTGAAGTTTGATACCTCATGTAAAGTACTCCTTTCTAGGACATTATTTTCTAGGCCTGCAAATAGTGAATTTAAATTTTCTTTAATTATTTGAAATTGTTTTCTAGGTTGAATTAATACTCTCCAAGATTTGGGATTCTAAAAATGCTCCTAGACTAGGCTTCTGGGCTAGGTTTTACTAAGAGGACAAATAGAAAATCTACTCCTACCGGTCTAAGTAGGGTGAAGACTATAACTTTCTCTTAACCCGTCCCAAGCCTGGGTGAAGGAGGTTTGCGTTAAGTAGACAGCCAACGTAAAACTTTACCAAAACTCTCTATTTATCTTGTTCAAGCTGCAAGGCCAAGCGACCGTTGTATGTATCTCGAACGGTTCAAAAATTAGCACGTAGACAATCTCACTAAGAATGAATAAAGTTCAAAGTTGGAAGCACAACCCTATGAAAGAAACCTATGAAAGAAACTTGCCTAATCCTCATTATACCACATATCGTGAATCTTATATTATTGGATTTTAGTAGAAACCATTAGCATGGACCGAAATTCGTATGGATTTTTTTTGCCCTTTTTCTTCATCTTCGAAAACTTCTACTAACAAGTAATTCTTTGGGTCCAATATTTTTGTTTCTTAACCAAATTTAAAGTTTTAAAAATATTGCAAGCTGTTTTTTTTTGGGTAAGTGGGGAAGACAGGCCTCTACCCATATTTTTTCCAGATAGATTAGGGAGTTAGCTTTTTTGACAACGACTATAGGTGGTGTCAGCATGACTAAAAACTACAACATGGTAATTAGGTATGAGGGTGCTACCACCACGACCCAGCCCCTTTCCTAATATCACAAACTGTTGTTATCCAAGTGACTCTCATAATTGTCTTCCAGCTAAAATAAAGGTCCAAATGCTCTTTATCCATTGTTCAGATGCTCCACATTTGATAATCAAGTGTTGCACTAGGAGCTTTTTGGAAGCTCCAAATCAGTCCTTAATGGCGAGAATGATTTCGGAGTGGAGAAGATTAATTTTGAAAGCCTTTTGAGGTTCCTTACCCAATCAACTGACTCTTGTGGCCCAAACACCTACCATGGGATTCAATTTTCTTTTCTTTTTTTTGAAATTTTGCATAAAACTACTAAATCACTAAAAAATGAAATTCACAAGACAGAACAAAATCAATTTTGAGTTTCAAAACTCGAGGTGGCTTTTCAAACCATATATAACATGTGTTCTTAGATTTTTCTTTTTCTAGAAATTGATCCCAGGATGGCAAGATCCACAAATTTGGGGGGTTCTAAAAAGATCCCCCGAAGCATACTTTTGCTCAAGGGACTAAGTGTACTATTTTGAAAATTTGGTGAGTTTGAGTCACCCCAATCAGAACTAACACCCAGCAATTCCAGATGACCAAGACCTGGGTTGCCAAAGTCTTTATTGAGTTTATTGTAGTCTGGTTCAATCTAAGAATGCGCTTAAGACTAGTTGGTCAGATGGTAGGGCACCACAACATGATATTTTGAGTTCCATATTTACCATGGGTAGATATTTTGAGTTCCATTTCTACCATGGGTAAAGAACCTAATCCCTAGTTGACCTAACTTGATCCAAAGCTCGTTCCTGATTTTAAAACATTGGTTAGTGTGAAAACAGTGGACATAAATCTTTTCCCTATGTTTGTGTAGGAGAAAGCTACAAATAGCTCTATACTCGTACAAGAAAACAACTTATTTCCCAATGTCCCAAATTTAAAATAAATAAAATACCCCTCAAAAAATGCTTTATAAATTTTATCCCAATATGACTTGTAAAACAACTAAAATAAAATTCATTAACTAACAAACAATCTCAAATATCAGGAAGAGATCCGACGATCGTGATGTAGACCATTTTTATCATGCAACTAAAATCTGGAGCACAAACACACACATAGACAAACAGAGACATGGAGGGATAATGTTGCATTATACAACATTGGAAAGGTTTTTATACTTCCCCTACAGCATAGAAGATCTATGCTTCCCCTACCATCCAGCCGTCCGATTTTGATCAAGAGAGCCACTCACCGTTTGATCTTAGATCTGACATCTTAAAGCATTTTATTTTTAGTTCTTTTATATAAATTGTATGAATATGAAATTTAGTACGTGTCATCTTCTCCTTGGGGTGCACCTATAAAAAGTATTAAAAATAATTTTTCGATAAAATATAATCACCAAAATACCCCTTGAAACTTGAAGGGGTATTTTGGTTATTTTATTTTACTGAAAATATTTGTTTTTATATTTTTCGCTAATAGAGGATTGGACGTCCAAAATTTGGTTTCAAAATAATTCATAGAAAAAAATTAAAAATAAAATAGTATAGAGACGTGACATTGTGATTGGGACAATCTTAGCCCACCATTCAGAATGGACGGTTGGATAAGGGGAAGTATATAAGTTTTATGCTGTAGGGGAAGCATAGAAAGCTCGCCCATATAACATTGTGCAAGTTTTCCTATGCCAATTTTGGTGTTAGATGTCACATTTAAGGGAAATTTTCTAGCCTAAACATCCTCTTGACTCTAGCTAATGTCCCCATGGTAAAAATTTTGGGAGAAACAGAAAAAAATAAAACCTAAAAGTTTAGAAGAGAGTGAAAATGATGCATTGTTCTTTGTCTGGTGCATGGTAGTTGACTGTTATACTTGCTCAAAATCTTTACTTATTTTGGAAATTGATCTAATATTTTTTAGGAACATAATACGAAAAGGGAAAAAGGTTACGTAGAGCCAAGGCTCTAAACAATCAAATTAGAGCGACCTTAAAAATTTTATTAGAAGAGCTTGTTTTGATGCCCAAATATCCTCAAATTGATCATCTCGACATCAAGTTGCATGGACACGAGGAAATGCCGAAAAACGGCACAAGATGAGCCCCAAATGGTGGTGCAAGGATTTTGTTCCAAAAACCCCAATTTCCAACCCCAAGATACTCTCTACTAGTTCCCTTTCTCCCTCACTCACCCACGTTTTCTCTCCCAAAAAAACCCCTTTTATAGACCTCCATTAAAAAAGCTTATTTTAGTGACAAAAGTACCTTTTAACAAGAGGGAGAATACCATGGGGTGTGATTGGCATCACATTCCAACAAAAAAAAGTTCCCAAGATAAAAAATAATTTTCATTTTCAAATTTTTAAAATAAAAAATAATGAAAAATGAAATGAACGCCAAAACCGATCCAAATTACAAGGTTCCTGATAGACTCGAAAAGATTTCTTATAAAACTAAGTGAATCTATCAAATCGGACTGAATCCTATTTCAAATAGGAATGAAATTGGTCGTTGCCGAGTCCTTATCCTAATTGTTGTTCCCTGATCCACAAGTGAATTCTGGAACAGTCATTTGAAAGAAGCCAATAACAACTTGTGTTAATCGTGCTTGAATCTTGTCCATAATTACTAATCCAACAAGGGTTTATTTGGACATAGGGAGACATCTTTTACTCTCCCGGAAGACGCGTATCCTGGAAGAAGGGTGTATGCTGTTTAGATAAAATCTATAAATTCTTATCCTAAAAACTATCTCTCTCTCTTGAAGCATCATTTCTTCTAGATTGATTCATATTGAAAAAGAGAGAGACTTCGCCTGGTTCGTAGCCGAACCAGAATCTCATGATGTTAAAGAAATTCACATTTTTCATCCCTTCATTTTTTTTCTTTAAGCATTTTCACCTTTTTACGTGTTTTTGTCCTTTTAATTTTCTTCAACATCATTTTGGTGTTTCGACGAAAATGGGTACACTTCGGGACCTTAAAAAAACTATTTTTTACAGAGAGAAAAACCTTTTTGCAATTTTTCTCACCCTCTCTACCTGAAAACAGCCTATACCTAGCCCTATTTTTGGGCAACTTTCCAGGAGGATTCTAACCATCATCCCGCCCT